GCTCCAAGCCGGATGACAGTGGATCTGCTCCACTGGATGACAGGACCACCTGTGCTCTGCTCCACAGGATGGCCGTGGATCCAAGCCGGATGGAGGCCTGCCCTCGCCTTCCTCGGATCCGACCACGGGTCCACGGACGGAGGGCGGGACGTGTTCGACGCGTGCACCTCGCCGGAGCACCGCGACCTTCCGTCGCACCATCAGCAACGGCCTCAAGAATGGAGAGCGGGTCCCTCTCAAAATGCCACCATCGCCTCACGGCCGCGCACAGTCGTCGGAAAACGCTGCAACAGAAGAGCGGGTTGATGGCGGGTCCTCCTTAACATCACGTTATGACCTTAGCGCCGCGCATATTCGTGGTACAAATCGCAACGGCTTCAAAAATGGAGGGCATGTTCTTTTCAAAGTGACGTTCTCGCCCTAGCACCGCGCTTTCGTCTTGGAAGATTGCAACAGTTTAATAAAGGTTCGCACGATTGAAATTATAGCAACGGTGTTCTCACACGATTCAGGTGTCAGGACAGAGCAGACTCGTTGATTCGTGGAATTGAAGTCCCAGAAGTGGTGCTCTAGCACGGTTCCAGATTGCCAGGACGCGACAGTAAGGTTGATTCGCGTCGCTGGAGTCTCAGGAAAAGTGTTTTGGCACCTGTGGGACGATTCCCAGACGATTGAGGATTCCCAAACAATTATCCTCCAATGGGAGACTTATAACAATGGAGAAATTCATTGTGGAGACCTAAGAGTACTTGGAGTGAGAGTGTATTGCAACATCGTTGATGCGTCATGAGTGTAACTTGATTATCCTCCTCCTCCTTCTCCTCCCCCTCTTCGCCATCACCACCATCATCATCAGCAGCGGCGGCATCAACATCATCATCATCAGCATCATCATCGTCGTCATCGTCATCGACATCGTCACACCCATCGTCATCATCATCAGCAGCAGCAGCATCATCATCTTCGGAATCATCGGCATCATCCGTACCACCATCAGCATCATCACCCCTTTCTCTTCATCATCATATATCCCTCCTGCTCCCCCTCCTCCTCCTCCTCCTCCTCCTCATTATCATAATCAGCATCATCAGCAACAGCAGCAGCAGCAACACCATCACCACCACCCCATTCATCATCATCACCACCGCCTCCTCGCTCTCCGTCCCCTCCTCCCTCTCCTCTACTCCCCACGTCCCAGAGATTCCCCGGGTTGTGAGACTGTATTCCCCGCTGCTGCCTGCAGGGGGGCAGCCGCGCCGCCTGGGAGTGCCGAGGCAGTCTGTCTACAGCGGGCCTCCCTGCCAGCACTTCAGGCGCTGAGCCCGCTGCGGAGCACCGCCGCACATGCATGTACAAACAAGAGCACACCTGGTACTGTTAATAAAACCAAAAGCAATCATGATACGCGAATGCGTGTGTGCACGCGTCTAGACGCCAGAGGATGGGGGGGCGAAACCGCAGCGGAACGGAGACCCCCAACCAGGAAATCTTTTCGTTTAGCTCGTGTCGTGCGTGCGGGCGAGGCGAAGCTGCGTGGGCGCGCGAGAGGAATGAACCCGCCGTTGCTAGGGCGGAATCAAGACAGATGATTCTCCCCCCCCCGCCCGCCGGGAGGGGCCCGCCGGGTCCACGGGGATCTGGCGGCTCGGGGGAAGAAAGCGAGACTGGCCAAACTCTCTCCGCTTGGGGCCTCCGGAGGGTCGACTTCGGACCTGGGGCCGTCGAGCGACTATTCATGATGCGGGGCTCGGCCCCAGGGCGGAGACGTCGAGAGATCTGGGGGGGGCCACGTGCCGCCAAGTGACTGACGCTGATTGGGGCCTCGTCCCCGACTGTTGTCTGCCTTGCTCGGCCATCAAAGGGAAATCACCGAGCGCATGCCCCCTCCACAACACATCATCCTCCCCGACATCCGTTTCCTCCTACTCTTCCTCCTCCTCCTCATCATCATCCTACTACTCATCAAAACCACCACCACCACCACCACCACCATCATCATCATCATCATCATCATCATCATCATCATCATCATCATCATCATAATCATCATCATCATCATCAGCATCATCATCATCATCATCATCATCATAATCATCATAATCATCAGCATCATCATCATCATCACCATCATCATCGTCATCATCATCATCATCATCATCATCAGCATCATCATCATCATCATCATCATCATCATCACCATCATATTCATCATCATCATTATCATCACCACCATCATCATCAGCATCATCATCATCATCATCATCAGCATCATCATCAGCATCATCATCGTCATCATCAGCAGCATCATCAGCATCATCTTCATCAGCAGCAGTAGCACTATCGTTATCATAGTCATCACCATCATCGTGAGCATCATCGTCATCATGAGCAGCATCATCGACATCCACGCAATCAGCCTCATCATCCATCATCATCACCACCACCACTGTCATCCTCATCAGCATCAGTATCGTCACCAACATCATCATCGTCAACAACACCACCATCACCAGCACCATCATCATCACCGCGATCAGCAGCATCATCATCATCATCACCACCACCACCACCACCATCATCATCATCATCATCATCATCATCATCATCATCAGAATCATCATCATCATCATCATCATCATCATCATCGTCATCGTCATCGTCATCGTCATCGTCATCAGCATCATCAGCATCACCATCACCATCACCATCACCATCACCACAATCATGATTATGATCATCATCATCCTCATCATCACCATCATCATAATCATCATCATCATCATCATCATCATCATCATCATCATCATCATCATAACTTTCATCATAACCACATAATCACCATCAGCATGACCAGCATCCTCGTCCTCATCCTCCCCAGCATAAGCATGAGAATCATCAGAGTCATCATCTTAATCCTCATCATAATCCTCATCATCCCCATAATCATCATGACATCGTCACAGCATCATCAGCAGCATCTGCATAATCATCATCACCATCATCATCACCATCATCATGACCATCATCATAATCAGTATCGACATCACCATCACCATCACCATCACAAGCATCATAATAATCATCAAAGTCGTCGTCCTCATCATCAGCAGCAGCACCATCATCATCGTCACCATCAAGAACACCGTCACCATCACCATCACAACAACAATCATCATCATCAGCAGCATCAGCATCAGCATCATCATCATCATCACCCTCAGCATCACCATCATCATCATAAGCATCATCATCGTCAACGTCATCGTCACGGCCATCGTCATCGCCGGTGTCGTCGTCACCAAGCATCATCAGAAACATCATCACAAGTACCGCTGTCGTCATCAACATCCTCCACATCACCATCAGCGCCACGACCACCATGACCATTATCGTCCTACACCCTCTTGACGAGGCGCTGCTGATGACAAGCATAGCGGGTCCTGTCTCTCTGCACAATCAACGTGGGACAGCACTCAGAGCCTCCACTGCACCCAGCAGAAGCAAGAAAAAGGGGGAGCAGGAGGAGGAGGAGGAGGAGGAGGAGCAAGAGCAGCAGCAGGAGCAGGAGCAGGAGGAGGAAAGGGACGGGTGAGGGCGAAGCACGAGGAGAGGAGGAGGAGGAGCAGGAGGACGACGACGAAGAGGAGGAGGGATAGACTGTCGACTGAGGGCAGCCATCCGCTCACAGACCAGCGGTCAGCTTCGAGCCTGGCTTCGAGGAGGAGGAGGGAGGAGGGAGGGAGGGGGGAGGGAGGAGGAGGGAGGAGGAGGAGGGGAGAAGGGAGGAGGGGAGCATGGGGGAGGAGGAACGATCACGAAAGGAGGAGGAGGAGGAGCCAGGAGGGAGGAGGGAGGAGGATCGGGAGGAAGAGGAAGAGGAGGAAGGCAGGAGGAGAGGGGGGAAGGAGGAGCGGGGGAGGAGGAAGAGCGAGAGGAGCAGGGCAGGAGGAGGGGGGGGAAGGAGGAGCGGGGGAGGAGGAAGAGCAAGAGGAGGAGGGCAGGAGAGGGGGGTGGGGGAAGGAGGAGCGATCCCGACACGCGCCCCCGCCGGCACGGCACCGGAGGATGCCTCGGGGCAGGCGCGGGCGCGCGCGCTGCTCGGGGCCCCCCGCGGCCTGGGCGTGCGGCCCTGGCCCGGCGAGCGGCGCGGGGCGGCCCGCGGCGCAACGCGCACAGGCGTGCCCGCCCCCTCTCGGGTCGGGCGAAAGGGGGGGGTATCAAAGGGGGGGGGTTTGAGAATCAGCTCACGTAGCCGATTCTCCCGGCGCCTCCCGGCGCCGGAGGCAGCCATGCATCGAGGAATGGGCCCCTCGGTGAGGCCGAGACCAGCTGCATGCAGCAAATTTTCGTACTGCAGGTTCGTGCTGGATCGTTCAACCTTGAACGATCGGCCGTCTCCGCAACGTCCGATCGTTCAACATCGACCGATTCTGGGCCGCCGGCGGCGTTCAACCTTGAACGCCCGCGCTGGAGTCGCCGCCGGTCGACAGGACGCGAACCTACCGTAACCCCCCCTTTCCCAATCCCCCCCTCTCGCCCGGCCCGATCCCTCGCGGCGGGCGGGCCCCCACGGCTGGCGCCGGAGGCCGCCCGTGGCGCCGCCGCGCACCCACAGGAGCAACCCCCACAGACACGAGGAGCACAAGGAATGCCTCGGGCCTGTCCCTCTACAGGAGGGATACTCAAAAATGGTCAAACAATTGTATGGGGACGATTTTTCTACGATCTTTGACTATGTTTGAAAATTGGTATGACTATTGGTTAATCTCATTCCAAAGCCCGCTCGTAGGAGGACATGCCCGACCTGACGCGTACCCTCCTCGGACCAACCTCAATCTCATACCTCGGTCCGACTGCAGCAACAAAAACCCTCTGTCGCGCTCTTTTTCATGACCCATGCGGGTCTCAGCCTCCCTCCTCCCTCCTCCTCCTTGCCCCCCGTCCCCCCGCCCCCCGCCCCACGATGCGCAGCCGGCGGCCGTCGCGCGGGGGGGGCGGGCTCACGGGCCGTACGGCAACTTGTTGCCCTCCAGGACGCCCTCCTCGACGCCGTCCTTGCTGACGACGACCTCGCCAGGCTTCTGTCCCCAGCCACTTCCCCCTCCCCGTCTCCGTCTCCGTCTCCGTCTCCGTCTCCGTCTCCGTCTCCACCTCCATCCCAATCTCCATCTGCAACCTCATCCCCATCTCCATCTCCGTCCCCATCTACGTCTCCGTCTCCGTCTCCGTCTCCGTCTGCTCCCCGGTTGCGCGCGGAGCGCGCCAGGACCGGCGCTGGATGCGCTGCCAGGGGGGGTCTAGCGCGGACCCGCGGAGTCGGGAGGAGAGAGGAGGGAGGAGGAAGACGGGCCAAGCCCCGAAAATGCTGATTTCATTGCACTTCTGTTGTCGAGCTCTGCTCCGGGTGGGGTCGGTGCGCCCCTGGCCCCGAAGCAGGAGGTTGCTGGCCTCTCGTCGTTCTCGTCGCTGTGAGCACGCACGTGAGCGCCACAGCGCGCCTGCGAGCGCCATAATCAGAGGAGGGCCAATCGAGACAACGAGAGCCCCCCCAGCGGCATCCCGGAAGCTTCTCGTCGCCACCGATGAATCCGCCTCGAAACACGGGCCAGGATGGACGTCGGTCTGGAGATAGGAAAGGGGTGTGGTGTAAAGGGGTGTGGTGCCAAGGCTGGATCTGGCGAGGTTATCTATCGTAGATAGCATCGTTATTTCCACGATTGGCACCACACCCCTTTATGCCACACGTCTTTCCAACCTCCAAAGACTGCTCTGGGGACGGATGTTGATCTGATTTGGGCCGGGCGGGAGGGCCGCCGTGGTCTCAACTGGCCCTCCTCCCGACACAAGATACTCGCGAGCACCGCACACAGCCTGCGCGCAGGCATGCCTGAGCACCAGGCGACCTGTGACATCACGAGCAGCGCCCGCGGCCCTCTGCGCCATCTCCAGGCGCTCCTGCGTCCGCTGGCGATTCATAGCTGATCCTGAGCCGGTCCAGGCTCTCCCTGGCAATTCTCCCAGCCTCCATGCCGATCCTCACTGTGCCAACTGCCCCGGGCCACGCCCAAACGCGGCGGGAGCAGAGCGTGACGGTACCAGGCCTGTCACCCCCTGCTACAGTCCGACCAGATCGTGAGGATGCCCGTCGCTCGGAAGAGGTGGTCAGAAGCATGAGGTAGGAAGGCGTTGAGAGCAGATGGGGTACCCGCCCGCCCCCGGAGAGGGAGGGGAGGCAGAAAGCCGCTCGACTCTGGAAGCAGGAAGGCGCCTCGAGGAAATTTGGGGTCTGGGGATTCAAAACAAAAACACCTTCTCAACGGCAGTGATGCCTTGGCGGCGCGCACAAGGGGGTATGTCAACCCGTACACGTCGGTCGGAAGAAGTAGATAAACACATGAAGTACGGCCCGCGCCTTCCGAATGACAGGGGTGCTCCTGAGAAGCCTTCCCCCCTTCCCCCCCCTCGACCCCCCTTTGCGCGTTACTGACGGGTACAAGTCGGCCGGAAGTGAAAATATGAAGTAGGAAGGCGGATGAAGTAGCGGGTTCAGGCTATCCAAGAGAATAACAGAACACAGCAAAAACATATCGATTATTGCAATAGGAGGGCGCTTGAAGCAGATTGGAATATGGGGATCCAAAGATAGTTACGTTCAACGACCGGCGTGTATAATAAGGATGCACGATGAGGATGCAAAAAAAACCTTACACAAACCATGTCGCCACTTTGCGAGCGGGGCGCGGCCAGCGAAAGCGGCCAAGGATGGGCCGAAGGGGCACGATGCAAGGGTAAAACCTTGGAAAGCCGCACATTCTGACTATGCGGGTTGACTGTGGGGGGACGGAAAAGACTTCTTAGAGGGCGGCTGCTGTAGATGAGGCCCGCGCCTTCTGAGAGGGAGGGGTGCTTCTGAGAAGCCTTCCCCCCTCCCCCCTACCCCCCTCTGCACGTGGCCGACGATGGGGGGGGGGGGGGCGATGCAAGGGGGGGAAAGGAAGGTGCACTTCTCGGGCCCTGGAGGCCCCCTTTTGGGCCCTGAAGGGACCCTTTAGGGGCCCTGAAGGGGCGTGCGTGCGAAGGGGTACCACTCTGCACTCTGAAGATCGACCGGCACAAATCGGGCATCTCTGAGATAGATGCCTCCGAGACGGGGTCCAAGTAGATTGGGTCGGAGGATCGCGCCGCACCGCCGATGCATCGGCGACGCATTTGCGATGCACCCAGGACGCTGGCGATGTATCGGCGACGTCGGATCAGAGAAGATCGTGTTCCGCATCGAGCCGCATCGCCGAAGCATCGGCGATGCGGCGCGATCCTCCGACCCCATCTACTCCGAGGTCGGGCATGTCCTCCTACAGGTGGATTTTGAAAGAAACATGGGAAATAGACAAAAGCACTACCATTGTCAAAAGAGCACGAACAAAAAGTCGTCACCTGACTATCTTTCAACTATTCCGAAACTTTCCTCCTGCAGAGGGACATGCCCGACGTCGACCCACTCCGACACCACTTGGGAGGCCTAGATGGGATCCAGCGATTCTGGGGAGGGCGTCGGGCTGGGCACCGCGCCCGCTCCAGAGCGCTCCAGGGGGCGCTCTGGGCGTGCTCGGGAGCGCTCGCGAACGATTGACGCTCAAGCCTGCTGGCAGGGATGCGCGGTACCCGTCGGTGGGAAGAAGTGGGCAGAAGCATGCAGCAGGAAGGCGTTGGAAGTGCAGCCGGCCCATATCAGAAGGAGGCGCGATGAGAATGCAAAGGGCCTTGGACGCCCATTTCGAAGCTTCTCGAGCGAGGCGCGGCCAACGAAAGTGGCCAAGGATGGACCGAGGCGGCAAGGATGCAAGGGTACCCCTGGGAAGGTTGCCCATCCTTACTATGCGGGTTCACTATAGATGGGGTCTCCGCCCGCCCCCTGAAGAGAAGGGAAGAGGAATAACGGCTCGACCATCAAAGTAGGAAGGCGCCCAAAGCAGTTTGGGATCTGGGAATCCAAAGATACCCACTTTCAACGACTGACGAGTAAGGATGCAAGCCCCTTGGACGCCCGTGTCGATGCTTCTCGAGCGGGGCTGGCCATCGAGAGCGGTTGAGGATGAACCGAAGAGGCAGGCGTGCACGGATAATTACCCGTGGGAGGGCCGGCCCATCCTCAACATCAGTGTCGAACGCATCCT